AGACAGTCCCGCCCCCGTGGCTATTGCACGGCCTCCGGAGACGAGAGCCTCCGCATCCCCGTGCCCGACAGGACACGCCAACCCGGGGTCTTGCCCTGCAGAGTGAGGGCACCTGCAAACTCCACCACCCTCGCTGCCCGCTCCTCTTGGAGGAGGCTGCCCCACTGCCTGCCCCTGCCCACGCTGCCTTGCCTTACCTCCCCGGTGCCAGGGCGCCAGGAGCCACTCCACCTTGGCCATGGCTGCGGGCGCAGGCAGGAGGGTGCTCGCTCCTGCAGCCCGGGAGCCCTTGCTTCAAAAACAGGCTGAGAGAAGTGAGCTTCCTCCGCCTTCCCCGCCTGCGGCCGGCTCCAGCCCGGGGGGAGAGGAAGCGACCAGGAACTGGCTGTTTGAGTCAGCGGTGCAGCCCATTGTCCCGGCCCCTGCCCCTCTTCCTTCCCTGCCACCGGCCCGGGGGGAGGGATGGCGGAGAGGCTGTGGTTTTGCACAGCCCATCCTCCACCCACCCACCCTGCCGGTGGTTCGCCCGGGGGTCCTGCAAAGGCGGTGGGTTGGGGCGGAGGGGCTCGTCCCTCTCTCCGTACACCCCTGCTGCAGTGCCCGGAGAGGGGATGGGGTCCTGGGGCCATGGCAAGGACAGGCTGGGCTCCCCCTGGCTGAGCAAAGTCACGGAGCCAAAACATCCCCCAGCCACGTCCAGAGCAGCAACCGGCACCATCTGAAAGCCACGGGTGACTTGGGGGACACCAGCGCATGCTGGCTCATCCGCCCCAGCAGAGCATGGCTGTTCCTGCATGTCCCAGCTGGAGCAGCCGTCGGCATCCTCACCTGGAAATTAGCTCCCCGGAGCCTGCCGCTGCCTCCCGGCTGGGTTGAGCTGCCTTCTCCCCCCAGCCTCCCTACACTTATTAGCTAAAAAAAGTGGGGGGCCTTTCTGAATTCACCTGACTTTGCCCTGGAAGCTGTGAGAACCCCCAGAGCTTCCTCTCGCTTTGGCTCCTTCCAAAAGCCACAAGCAAAGGCTCCTCGGGGACCACTTTCCCAGCGCCCCAGGGGTTTGTAAAGCTCAGCCTCCTTTTCCCAGAAGACGGAGGACGCTGGGAGCCAGGACTGCAGCAGAGACAGGAATGCAGCCCCGAGCCCTGGCTTACTTCGGGAAGTGGCTTTGGGGCCGCTGGGGTAGCGTGGGGAACGCGTGCCTTGCCAGGGGCTGGTACCATCCACCCCCGTGCCAGGCACCCAGCGACGCCGCAGGCCCAAATGATGGGATGGGTAAAGGACGGCGGATACCAGCAGAGTTCATTTTCCCCCTGGCAACCCAGGCAGCACTTGCACGTGGCTCTGACAGACAGGGGGAAAAGGAGACCTGCCCCAGTGGCCGGTGCTTCTTCCGGGACCCCGTTCTGCGGTTATCGTGCCAGCCGAGGACAGATGCAATAACTGGAGAGCTGCCTCCCAGCCCCACCAGACCATTGGGCGCAGAGACCTGCTAATTCATCACATCGGTTCCAGCAGCCCACGAGCATGCTGCCTTCTCTGACGAGCCCCTCCAAACACTGCCACGCTCGCAAGCAAGCATCCTGGGCTCAAGAGCAGCCTGCTCGGCTCTTCGGTTGCGCGAGGAAGGGGTGCAGGGGGATGTGAGCCCCTGCCAGCATTAGATCAAAGATAGGTTTTGGCCAAGCGGGCAGGGCTAAGGTTCGCATGCCCCGGATTCACACAGCTTTGCCCAGCCTGTCAGGACATGAGGAAGGCTGGATTTTAATGATCAGGGACACCAATGTAAAGACTCCTCCACGCGTTGCCCTGTGCACGGGGCAGAGGAACGATCCTGCCTGAGAAGAGCCAAGGTACCTCCTGGTACCGTGGGTCCCTGTCCTCTCCCAGCCGGCGGGCGTCCCACCCTTCCAGCAACCCAGACCCACTGCAGGACTGCTCCTTATCAAGTTTCAGCTCCCCCCCCTCAGCAGATAAGCTCCAGCCTGGACCTGACGTCGCCTCTCCGCAAGGAAGCCTGCATGTAGCTGCTCAGGA